CTTTTATACAAGGCTAATCTTGTCAATTAACATTCTATTTAACGCCGTTAAGTTCGTTTGTGAAAGCCAAGTGAAGAATCCCTGACGTCCGAAAACGGCGTCCCCTGCACCTTAAAAGTCGAGATATTTTTTCCCCTAAACTGCCACGTGTCTGTCTACTCAAGGCTCTCAAATCGATTGCGCTCTCGCATTTAGATTTTGTCCACGTCATCTTCATAAACCATCCGAACGTCCCACGTAAAATATTTGATCTTACGTTTCGCCTTCGGGACCTGTAATTTGTCCACGTAATCATCCACGTCAGCAATAAATTATACAGCCCAGTAATCTTATCTTTATGTTAATCTTAATCTAAATCTAAACCCTAATTTCACTCCAACCAATCTTGATTTGACTTGTGGCTTCAGCTGAAATTTAATTTTGCTGTACATATTCTAGCTCTGTTTTATCTTTAATATTGTTCAATTTTTTTGTTTTTTTTTGTTTTTATGTCAAATTGAAATCGACACTCAAACTGAGGTTCGGAGGTAGTTTTGCTACATATTGAGCCTCCTCTTTTTGTTTATAAATATTTGCGAAGAATTCCTTTTTGATTGTTTTGAAACTTTTTCATTTTCTGAATATGTTAAATTGATGGCAATTTTTCTCTCTCGTGGGTGGTTCATTAAACAGTCAATTTTCAAATTGGATAAGATTCCTTTTTGAATACTCTATTTCTTTTAAATATTAGGTTTTATGATTTGGAAAAAGGTATTTTCTTGTTGGTAAAGATTAGGGTTCGAGATTAGTGTACTGGCTGATACTCTGTTCGTTGTGTACAGGGTACTAGCAAATAGCCATCGATAGGACATTCGGGAATCTGGGATGACAACGGTTTCATTTCAAATTTTTGTCATTAATCTTTACCTCTGCTTTTGTTGTTACTGAATTGATTATTTGACATTTTGAATAGTGGATTAGGGTCTTGAGAATGAAGTGAATTCTTGAAGAAACAAGCTACTGCTATTATCTACGTCCTGTTTATTTTGGTTCAAGAGTACGTCTGAGGCTTGCTAAGGAGATGGATGTTGCTAAACATTGGTAGTTAGTTCTTTGGAATTTGGTTGGCAGTAAGTGTGTCGAGGAATATTGATGCTAATGGAGAGAAAGTCAATGGATGAGGACAAGGGCATCGAAGATCGAGACTTGGGTAAGGAGAGAAGTTCGTTTAAAGATATTGCCTTGAAGGTCAATAGAGTCAATGAAGAACGGAGAGATGGGGCCAATGGGGGGTTGCAAGGTCAAGGCACTCTGCAAGTGCTGCAGCCTCCGCCACCACCTCAGGGGACAGTGGTTTGTTGGGAGAGGTTTCTTCATGTTAGATCCATTAGAGTCCTGCTGGTGGAGAATGATGATTCTACAAGGCATGTTGTCACTGCTCTGCTCCGAAACTGCAATTATGAAGGTTGGTATCTTGATGTGATATGAGAAAGTCCTCTGTGTGTGTGTCCGGAAAGTATTCTTATAAACAGCTTTAATGTTAAATTTCTACTTTGGCCTGTGACAATGCTAAAGGGGAATATGTGAGCATACGAGCTGAGTATTACTTAAGAATGCTTCGACATTCAAGAGAGAAGCACATAATGTCCTATCTATATCTCAAGTAGAAGGAGCACATTCCATGTTATGGTTGTTATAAAAAGATTTTGTTTTTTGGTTTGACTCTTTTGTTTCATTTTCTCGAATGATGGTCAATCGTTAAGATTAGAAATGGAAAAGCAAAGGAAATTATTAAACATCAAGCATGTTTACAGATGTGCTGTTGTACCTTAAGTATATTACTTTGTCTTGGTGACCAGTGTATGTTGCTGATTTGTTACTCAAAAATAACATTTGTGCCAAATAATTTACTGCCTAATAGATATATGCTATGAAATGAAGAATGCTTTGAACTGAAGAACATATTCGCTGGCAAGTTCAAATAGATTTATTAATTTCTTAACAACAAAAGAGTGTACCTGTAGAATGTGCATTTCGAACTTCTTGAAAGTATACCTTGATGTATATTTAGGGCAAACAAGAAGTCAATAGTATTTACCAAGTCATCTGGCTGGTGTGTAGGTAAGGCTACTCTGGCCTTAGAATGGTTAGACCAATACAATATCAGCGAATTCGATGTGTCTTTGAAGAATACCCCGCTCTTTAACACCTTTTTAATTGTTTTAATTAGTCGAAGCCTCTTAATCACCTTGATGGGAATAAGTAGAGAGAGTTTTTCTTTTAGTCTCCAAATTAGAGACTTATTTTTAGAAACATACTTAGGGTTTGAGTTTGTACATTTCCTAATTCAATTAGGATTAGTCTAAAGTCTAAACCCTATATAAATGAGCTTTTTGCATTTTAAGAAAAAATAACTTTGATAATAAAATAAAATTGATACTCTCCCCCCTAAATTCTCTTTACCCTCTCTTCCATGTGATTAATTCTTCTTCCCTTTCTTTCCCCTCTATAATTGTTATATTGCATCCTACGTCAATCTGGTATTAAAGCTCAAATTATTTCCTTTGATCAACTAACCCAATCTCCACAACCCAAGAGCCATCGCCCGTCGCATTCTCATTTCCATGCACCTGCCTTTTGCTATCATCACCTATCCAATCAATCGATGCCTTCCTGTTCCCTAACCGCAATCAAAACAAAACACCCCCACCCCACCCTACGCACCACATCACCTCCATTGACGCCCTAGAGCTTTCCATTATCTACCACCACTATCCTCTTCTTCAAAGCAGAATCCTTCGTCGCCCTTCGCCATGGTACTCAAAACATCAAAAACAGTAATTGAAAAACAGGGCCCAACATTAGACATTAGTCTCCATTTATCCCAACAACAGAAATAAATCAAGAAAAAATCGCCTTAGTGTCCCTTCTCATGCTGCTGTTAGCCGTCGCTTCCTCCAACCAAAGCTTCTAGCCAAGACATTTTTATTATCTTTAACAAGCAGGGACAAATTTTCGAGCCACCCCAGTGATCTGATTGTGTGTGTTCATGTGGAACCATTTTTCGAATGGATTGATTTTTGTATTTTAATTTGATAGCTAGTTGCTAGATTAAGTCTTGTGAGTTATATAATTTTGTCATTTGGAAGCTCATCATTCCGTTAGGTGTTTGTGACCAGCACATTATCATATTTCCAATTTTCATAAATAAATAAATTTTTACTTAAAAAAAATGTCATTAGACCTTTAACACCTACAACACTCCCCTACGTTAATACCACTATAGTATGCATTGCCCGTCTCCTTGTTAGTACGATTATCTTCCATTTAGAAATTTTGTTGGGATGTATATTCTTCTTCTTGGCAAGTCGCTCTCCAATTATAGGACTTCGATGGTCTCACTCGACCCAATTCATTTCTTGATTAGTTCGATTCTTTTGAATAATTCTTTGACTTTCACAACTTAAGTGACTCTCGTCATCTTTGTCATGTTAATATGGCGCTTGTTGGATTTGCTAGGTGGTATTGAATTCTTTTTGCATGTCATTGACTACTAGGTCAACACCCTGTCACTTTGTGAGATGAGATAAAACGAACATAAAGTAATAAATATGTTCCCATGTATTATCGAACTCAGTTGTTAGAATATCTAACCCACTTCGAAGAGTTTTTGCACAATAGTATATTTATGAATCTTTCCACATTACAAAGTCTAGATTTCTCAACGATTTGAATCCTAAAATCATACGTCATGACATTCCTACACCCCTATCCTTAGATGAAGCTTATTGACATGCCAACTTATGGGATATATTGTTTCTTCTTTGCCAAGCGTCATAGGCTAGGTCTACCACCCATCTCAATGGTCACCTCCCTAGTCTTATTTTGTTACTCGAGGAAGAAATCAATATTTCTATTGCTGAGTTAATTGAATATTCTGAAAGGAAGGATGAGATTATTTATAGTACTACCACCTAAGTCAAACAATCCACCTGTCATCGATTTCATGCCAAAGTTGTTCTTACCTAATCTTTTGGTGACTAACATTAACTGTGATATGGCTTTACCTCCACAATGTGATAGTCTTAGGGTTGTCACGTTTTCTATTATCATTGTTTGTTCACACAGTTTTCCTATTGACATTCGACTACCACCTAATAATTATCGTCTATTGATTTAGCTCTGTACATTGTGGATTTTGCGTTGAGCTTAAAAGACACACTCACCTAATAATTATCATCTATTGCTTTAGCTTTGTACATTGTTGATTTTGCGTCGAGCGTAAAAGACACACTCTTTTCAGTCATGACCCTTATAAGCTTGCATTTGACTCAGAATTTAGGTATGACTTGTTATGTTTTTCTTGGACACAATTTTCAAAAGATGTAAAGAAAAATTGGATCACGTACCTGAAATTAATCTATATGACTAGTTTTTACATTTAAATGAATGTTTTGTTTTCGATATCGCAGGATTATTTTTTTATCGGGATATATTTGAGCCACTGCTGTTGCATTCATATGTTTTCGCAGGCTAGTCTACTATGTTAGTGTGCTTCTCTCTTTGGATTCTATAGTCATTTTTTAAAATGAGTTGCACATGTTATTTCTTAATGGAGTTCCTTATTGCTACATGGCTAAAAGGAAAGATCGTACCCTTTGGTCATATTAGATGCTTGGGAGTATTTTTCAAACTTAGTTGTTGACATATGGATGGCATCGTCATTTGATTAAAAAGAATATCGTCTTTCCTAGTTAAGAACGTTGCATTCTATCTCGTTGGAGTCGAGTTCTCTCAATGAAGAAGAAATGATGGGAATTAGTAGAGAGAGTTTTTTAATTTAGTTTCCAAATTATATGCTTATTCTTAGAAATATAATTAGGGTTTTATTTTATAGATTTTCCTACTTCAATTAGGCCTAGTTTAAACCCTATATAAAGGGGCTTTTGCGTTGTAAGAAAGAACTTTGATAATAAAATAAAATTGACATTCTCCCTTTAAATTCTCTCTTTCCTCCTCCCTTCCATATGTCTAATTCTTCTTCCCTTTCTACCCCCCTCTTTCCATCTCCCTCTTTCTCTTCTTCTCTTTCTTTCTCTTTCTTCTATAATTGTTTTATTGTGTCCTACGTCACACCTTAGCCTAGAAATTCAAATGCTTGCTCTGAGGAGAGTTGTTTTGTAGAATATGGTCGTAGCTGCAAAATCAACTACTGTATTGGCAGCATAAAATCATTGTTATACACCCGCATTCTACCATGAGGTTCTGTTAAATATTGCTGTTTTTCTTTGAGTAAATAGTAACATTTTCTTTTACATTGGCAACAAGAAAAAACTTGCTCTTAAAATAATGATAAAATTAAGAATATATAATCTTTAACTTATTACACTATCTCACATGCATAACAAGGAAATATTTGGGCTGATAAACAAAGATGCTATGCTTCATCTGGACATTTGCAGTGCTGGAAGCAGCTAATGGATTGCAAGCATGGAAGATTCTTGAAGATTTGACCAATCATATTGACCTTGTCTTGACAGAGGTAGTAATGCCTTGTTTATCAGGAGTAGGTCTTCTATGCAAGATAATGGGCCATAAAACACGCAAGAATGTTCCTGTGATCAGTAAGTAAATATCTCTCTGTGTTACAAGCGTTGCAAATGTTGCAAGTGTAACATATTTAGTTTTACTTAAAACATCTTAAAACTAGAAGTTGTTAACCCTGATACTGGTTGAGGTTTGTGTGCAGTGATGTCATCTCATGATTCAAGGGGTTTAGTCTTTAAGTGTTTGTCGAACGGTGCAGTGGATTTTCTTGTTAAACCCATACGTAAAAATGAGCTTAAGAACCTCTGGCAGCATGTCTGGAGGAGATGCCACAGCGTGAGTCTTTGTACATTTCTACTTGGCTTTGCCACTGCTCTGTCAACTTCAGACACTGGAAAATTACCCAATATTTATGGACATGCTTCTCTAATAATAGCTGGGACGTGTGTTGTGGATTCACAAGTGAACATAAAAATTTCCATCTCCAAACTATTAGGAGTCACCCGCTGGTGGCTCTGCGTTGTGGTTGGGTTAATCATAGGCAGGAAATTTGGATTTTCACTTGTTTGAAATCCTATCCCTAATCGCCATTATCGAATTCAAAAGTAAAATAAATGAAAAAGCACGTTTCCATCCATGCACAGCTGTTCATGATGAAACTACAGAGTTTAAAAAAAATGGAAGTTAGTTATAATTTCCAAATTTTCATTGAGCCTGTTCTGATTAGTTGACCCTTTGTGTCCCCTCAATAAACTCCCTGATTCTTCATGTATTGATTGGATGACAGTGAAAGAAAAAAATAGAAAATGATTAACGATTGGGACTAGTTAATCAAGGGGACACATAGAAGAACTTGGCAGATGGACCTTTAAGGTATAGACATTTCTGTTTTGGGCTACTGTGCAGAAAAAAATATTTCACTTGCGGTACAATTTTTTTTCTTCAGGACCTTCTTGTACTTTCATCCTATTTTTATTATATAATCTGTGTTATAGAAATTACTTAAAGGTATCTTATTATGTGCACTTTATCATCTTTTTTACAATTAATTTATTGCAACTCAGTCTAGTGGAAGCGGGAGTGAAACTGGGACACCATCGCAAAAGTCTGTAAAATCAAAAAGTAGTGACAAGTCAGACAACAATAGTGGCAGCAATAATTGGAGCAATGGTTTCAATGTTGGTGATGGAAGTGATGATGGGAGTGGTGCACAGGTACTACAATTTATCCCTCCTTTATTCTTCTTCCTTTTTGGTTTGAAAAACTGTAATTTCTTGTTTCATGTCTCCCTGCTGATGTGTCTTATGTACATACACGCAGCAGATTGCAAGCAGGTATGTTATTGCATATAGATTGGTTGATTTTTGTTTTTGGGAGTTCGTAAATTGACTAGTAGGGATAAAAACAAACATTCAGTAGCATTTGAATGTTTTTGGAAATTATGCAGTAAATATCGTATACACAAGACAACAATAAGGACGATAACTGAATATAATTTGGCTTCTACTTTACATATTTATTACATATATAAAGGAGGAGATTATAGGTAATTTATGTTTTGAACTGGCTTTTGTTTCAGATTCATGCTACTCAGAGATTTGTCCACTCTTGTATATTTTGCATGAAGAAGAAAAGACTCCATTGATACAGTTACAAGTAACCACTGTAGGAAAGATAAATTTACCTACTATGATCTTCCTATGAAAACCTAATGCAATCTTTCTTGTCAATGCCTACCATAATTTGACCTGTAGACACTATAATATGTCGAATATAAAGAAAAGGATAACAGAGAAAAAGTTCTTGTAGTACTGAAAAAGAAAACTAGTGAACAATGAAAGTCAAAACTTCCAACGCTCAAGCTAGTGTGAAGATATTTTTAATTCCCAGCTTGTTTAGGATTTGACTAATAGTTACATAGGCTATCCTTAAGTTAGAATTTTTTAGCTAGTTGTCTCCCTTGAAGATAGGTATGCCATCAAACTTACCCAAGAAAGACATCCGGTGAAAATTTTAGAAGTCATCAACTAAGTGCCTGCTTGGCTAAGCTTTCAAGTTCTTATAAGTAGTGGTTTCCAAAGAACGTGTTGTTAAAAAGTAGATGAAAGTAGTGGGTATTAAGGAATTTGTGGTTAAAACTGATGTTGGACTAGCTTATAAGCACTTAAAAGCTTTTCCAAACATACACTGAATCGTCACGTCCATCTAGTGTGTTGCAATAACATTGACCAAAAAGCTTTTTCATACTGCCAAGACAAATGTCACTACGATATGCTAAAAAAGGCTACAATTGAAGCTGTGAGTTTCAGAAGCAAAAGCACAAAAAATATACAAATAGATTGTGCGCAAATTCCGATGTAGACAAGACAAGTCACCTACTAGATATAAGACAAGATAGTCGAAAGGAAAGCCTAAGATCATCGCTTGGTAAAGTCCAACATATGTAGTGAAGAAGACTTCATTAGTTTGATGAACCTGATGAAAGGCCTAATAACTAAAAAGAGACCTTTCCATTGTACTAAAAAAAGGCTCATGATATGGGCTTAAAGAATCTTAAGTGAATCTTCAAATAATATTTTTCAGAGGGTTGTTATAGTTCATCTGATCCCAACTTTTCAACTAGAAAGAACTGGTAAACAAGCCCAAGGACAAGCATTCAAAGAACGAGCCTATGGGAAAATAGGGTATGTAAGTCCAGGTGATAATTCCAATTTCCAGAGTCATAAGCTTAGTGGAGATAAGCTGCCTCTTCAATGTGGTTCAATTTCCTTGCAACGAGGTGGTAAATTAGCAAACAAGAACCCATTGAACTAATAAGCAATGGATAACAAATTACAGTGAAGTCACAAATCATTCTAAAAGAGGAGATGGGAGCCATCGAACATCTAGACAAAAGCCTTGAATTTTTACATGTAGAAATTCAAGATCTAATTAGTTCACTTGAGGTCAAATTAAGCTAGCTATGATACAATGATGGAAATATATAATGCTGGGGAAGTGGAATTAAAATTCTTGAAACAAGAAGATAGTTTAAAATAATAATAATAAATAAATAAATAAAAATTGTGGAGAATAATTTTTTTGTAATGCATTGGCGATTGAAAAGCCTTTGTATAGACAAAATAAAGTAATCTCTCCTAATCGTAATTACTTAAGGAAGATGAGTAAGTAAAACATAAAAGAATAAGTAATAAAAAAACTAAAAGAATAAGAATTGTTAATCTAATAAAGAAATAAAATCCTATTATAACAATAAATACTTCTACAACGGTAAATACTTTCTATCCTATTTGTAATATGATTGTCCTACATCAACCTCCGTTGATAAAACTCGCCATCGAGTTTGGTCGAAGAAAAAAATTAATCAATTTGAAGGAATACTGAAATTTCTTTCATCACATTTTGAGGATTTGAACCTATATTGGACTTGAGGAAGGCTCATTGAAGCAACCAACATTCTTAGTAATCAAATTTTGCAAACTTGTCAGCAGTATCTTTGTCCATTGTTTCTTCATTCCAGATTCTAGACCAATGTTCATAATTTACAATCTTCCAAACATTATCGAGAGGATGCATGCCACTACCACCATAGGTGGCCATCAGTCCAAGGCAAAACTTTGCTCTAATACCAATTTCAGTGCAGAAGCGAAATTTAAAATTTTGAAACGAGAAGAAAGTTGTAAAACTCAGGAATTCATAGAGATTGATTTGATTGTATCAATTTTAACAACATATTTATGTGACCCACAAATTTTATCAAATTTTCAACCACAAATTTATCGACTTCTATCAAAATATGCTAAAACTTTCATCTAAAGCTTTTTGAACGACCCCTATAGAAAATGAAGTGAGAAAGAGGAAAACCTCTATAATCTAAAATGTTCTATACTAATATTTAAAAAGGAAACGAGTGAATAAAGTAAGCCAAAATCTTCCAATACATTGACATGTTTGTAACGAGAAAATCAAAAAAGGAAAATCAGAAGTGCAGAATATTGAGTTGATTTGAGAAAACCTGGACCTTTGAAAGTACTGTTTTTCAAGGAACGAATAAACTCCTAAAAGAAACAATACGTTTGTAGAATAATTCATCCACAGTGTTCATTGATTTTGCCTCTTTAAATAGAGGTAAGAAATACATTATTCCGGTAACTAATAAAATAGTCCACTAACACATAATGCCAAAGAATTAGCATAATACATGGACTGATGGACATGACCCTATAACTACTTGGACCAATTTAAACTAAGGCAATAAATAAAATAGAAGTTACAGTTGAAATATAAAATTATTAATAGAAATTAAATATTCTCAATATAAAATAGGCTTGTAATATACCCGCCCTCTGAAAACACCCTCTCCTCAAGGATGACTTTTCTAGAATAATTCATCTTTTCTGCCGTTTCCAATTTATGATCAAATGTGAAAGAGCATTGATACTGTGTTCTGTTTGATCTCTAACCTTGTTTATCTCAACCAATGATTTTTTTCTCAAGTTACTAGGCAACTAAACTCCTAAAGGCTTCATTTCCCTTATAAGTTATGAGCCTTTTTTTTTCTTTTTTTTTTTTTTTTTTTTAATTTAGAATTTATTTCTATTTAATTCCCTTGTGAGGAAAATTTATTTTTTATCAAACTGGTTTTGACACAAAATGTGATAGTTGCTCTGTGGACAGCCCAAGTAAGAATGAATCAATTTTGTCTTTTCTGATTGGTTCTACATGAAAGGTATGATATCTTGAAACACAATAATGATGCGACTTTGGTTTAAGAAAGGATTTTGAACTCGAGATAATGTTATAAAAAAATCAGTGAAGTTTTGGTGTTTGAATATGGTGTGATATTTGCATTATATAACATATGCTGCTTTTTAACATGAACTTCAGTTCTGGACAGCCCAAGTAAGAATGAATCAATTTTGTCTTTTCTGATTGGTTCTACATGAAAGGTATGATATCTTGAAACACAATAATGATGCGACTTTGGTTTAAGAAAGGATTTTGAACTCGAGATAATGTTATCAAAAAATCAGTGAAGTTTTGGTGTTTGAATATGGTGTGATATTTGCATTATATAACATATGCTGCTTTTTAACATGAACTTCAGAAACAAAAACTGAAAGAGAAAATATAAATTATATTATTTTGGATGCCCTATTGTTCTACCAGGTGAATGAATATCTTTCCAGAAGATAGTTTCACCAATTACTTCAAAGTTTTAATTGAATTTTCCCCTTTGAATTGGATGCTACTATATTATAGGGCTACGGAAGTAAAAGGAATGACAATCTGTTATAAAAAAATTTACAAATAATTTTGTCATTTGTGAAAGCCCTTTTTACGAAGTTTTGAAAGTTTTCTTCAATATGACTCTGCTGTTTTTTCAGAGCTCTTGGACAAAGCAAGGTATGGAAGTTGACAGCCATCAAGTTATGTCTCCAGGGGATCAAAAAGATGAGTGCCTGGACAGCACTTGTGCGCAATTTATTCGCTCAAATGCTGAAATCTCTTGTAATGGAAAGGTGCTTACGAATGTAGCAGGGGAAGGTGCTGAAAAGAAACAACCCGGTATATTGAGTGTCTTAGTTTTTGGCTTTGTTTTTAGTTTTCTCTGAACTTGATCTATCAACAAATAGTATTTTCTTTCTAGACATTATTGCAAAGGGCAAAGACCAGGAGGCAGTCGTACCTACAAATTCAGACTCACGATCTGAAAATCCAGTTAAAGCTCCATTTGAAAAGAAGACAATGCCAGAAACTGATCGTGATATGAGCAGCAAGCGAATCGATGAGGGACAAGCCAATTTCATAGGTGAATGCCTGTTCAGCAATCACAAAATTGTCAGTCTGAAGTCCAATCCTCTCACTGTTAGCAAAGAATCTGAGTCTACGAGAGAAGTGGCAAACAGGTTAGACATCAACAGTGATGCTGCTGATGATTCTAAAGAACGAAGCTTAACGAGTCTTAGAGGATTTCAGGACACTGGGAGAACTGTTCAAGATGACTGCTCTGTCTTGCTACGTTCTGAGCAATCAGCCTTCTCAAGGTTATAGAGAAGAAAGATCACTAGATGATGATTTTGTTACTCTCAATTTTTTTTTTTT